GGATCCCGGGCGTGCAAGGCGAGGACCTTTAACCACTTGCGCCACCGCGCCGGGCCCACACCCTTTCTTTACAACAGATTCCAATGTACAGCGTGAGCATCAGAGCCACTTGCCTGCTCCCGCCAGTCGGCATTCCTCCTCAGTCACTGAGACACGCTCAGGTTATGAATCACAGCTGCGGGACTTGTATTGCTAAATCCACCACATGCGTATGTATGTATGTCCCTACCTTCGCCGGGTCTTGCCCTGTGAGCGTAAATCTGGTGTGGAGGAGGACGCGGCCATTGCTTTGCAGCACAGTGACAATGATGTCCGGGTCATTTACATAACTTTTGTGTTAATTCTCACATGCCTTAAAATTAGAACATTTTTAAGGGCATACATTTCAAAGAGTTCATTTATTTTTATTGGAAGGGAAGATTTACAAAGAAAAGTAGAGGCAGAGAGAAAGTTCTTCCATATGCTGGTTTCCTTCCCAAATGGTGACAACAGCCAGAGTTCAGCTGATCCCAAGTCCCTGGCCGGGAGCTTCTGGGTCTCCCGCAGGGTGCAGGGTTCAGGCTTTGGGCCGTCCTCGGGGCCCATCCTTTGGGCCAGTAGCCCTGTTTGTTCTTTATTCCCCTGTGCGTAAAAGCCACAGGCCAGCTCCCACTGCCACCTGTGCGGTCCCATCGTCGCCCTGTAAGTCAAGACCCTCTCACTGTGAGGGTACCAGGGTTCCCCTTTCCCCTGTGGTTTCTCACTGACCTGATCCGGCACCGTCTAGAAGGCATGGCCTCCCACTGAGAACAGCCTCCGGCAGAAGCAGGCCCTTAGCCTCACTGGTTACAAAAGGGAATTTACCCATGAGACTGTGGGAACTGGAGACAAGCATCTGCAGGCAGATTTTGTGCTTACCTCTTGGGGAGTCCAAATCTTCGACTGCAGTGTCCGCTCTGCTTCTTGCTGTGCCCCCGCCCCAGGGGCGGCAGGTCTGAAGGTTCCGTTGGCTCGGTCCCTGGCACCGTCATGGGATACCCAGATGGACTTCCTCCTGTCCTACGTCTCTGTCCTGCCCTCTTTCTGCTTCTCAAGTAAAACAAGGAAAAAGGAATGTAACATCAAACGGAATAACGAAGCGGCGTCGGGGAGGACATGAAACGTGGCTTCAGCACAGCATAACGGAATGACCTGACGGTGACCATAGAAACTCCATCTGGGACCAACCAGCCCTGTGGGTGTCAGTCGAGAGGCACGGGTCACTTTGTAAGGACAACACGGACGAGTTGGGACATTCGGGAAAGAATTAAATTGTGGTGGCTGCTGTGGCTATATGGGATATGGCCGTATGGGATGCCGGTTCAAGGAGCACGCGGAGGAATAACACGCTACGTCCCAGGGTGGGACACAAATCTCTTAGTAAATAAAGAATTTGAAGACTTTAAAACAGCCAATGCTGTGAGCCCAGCCCTGTGGCCTAGCGGCTAAAGTCCTCGCCTTGAACGTGCTGGGATCCCATATGGGCGCCAGTTCTAATCCCGGCAGCCCCACTTCCCATTCAGCTCCCTGCTTGTGGCCTGGGAAAGCAATCAAGGATGGCTTTCATCGGACAGAAGATCTTCCTCTCTGTCTCTCCTCCTCTCTGTATACCTGACTTTGCAATAAAAATAAATTTTAAAAACAAACGGACAAACAAAACACCAGCCATGCTGTGTGTGATGTGGTTGGGGCTCAGATGGATAACACACGTGAGGGTGGGCTTTGCCCCTCTGAAAGACGAAGGCGCACAGCACTGTGTGTTCAGGACATTTTCACATTTTTTCTTAAATGTCATGCTGTTGCTTATCATAAAATATTTCCCAGACCCAGCATGGAGCGTTCTCCGGGCAGGACACGTGCAACAGGGCAAGGAGGACGGTGCTTCCCACTCGGCGCCAGGGCCACAGTCTGAAGCCCTAGCCCCTACCTTGGGGCCTCTGCGACTTAACGGAGGCGCCCCCCTACAAGCACCGCCAGAAGCTCGCGTGGAACGCTGCACGGCCTCCACGACGTTCCCCCTTCAGTGGCCCTCTCCGGGATGGCTCCCGCACTGGAGGGAGAGAAGGCAGCGGGGACCCCGACTAGGGAGCGGCAGGCAAACACCGCCGCCTTCCAGGACGCGGCCGGCCCGAAGAGCCACGAGACAGAAAACGAGGGTCCACGCACGAGAGGAAGCAACCCGCCACCATCACCTCCTCCCAGCAACGACCGCAAACTACAACTCCCAGCAGCCCCCGCCGCCGGCCCCAGCGCGCAGGCGCAGGGCGGAGCCTGCCGGGAGCGTCCGCCGGCGGCCGGGCGGAAGTCGGCTACCCGCTCGGCCCGGCCCTCCACACAGCCAGCCCGCCGCCCGGGCACCGGAGCCTGGCGCGCCCCGGGTGAGTGACGGCGCGCCCTGCTGGGCCTGCTGGCCCTGTGCCCTCGGCTCCTCCCGCGCGCCTCGGCCCCCGGGGAGCCTCCTCTCCCACCGGGTTGGTCAGCTCTGCCCCCTGCCCCGCGCAGGCACACAGCGCTCCGGGCACCCGGGAGTCCTCCGTCCCCTGGCCAGTGCTGGACGGCCGCCCGCCACCCCAAAACACGGGCCACCCCGCTGTGAGGAGCGTGGGCGCCCCGCTTGTGACCGGCAGGGACGCCCCTTCTGACTGGCAGGGACTCCCCTCTGACCGGCAGGGACGCCCCTCTGACCGGCAGGGACGCCCCTTCTGACCGGCAGGGACGCCCCTCTGACCGGCAGGGACGCCCCTTCTGACCGGCAGGGACGCCCCTCTGACCGGCAGGGACTCCCCTCTGATCAGCAGGCATGCCACTCCCCTCTGATCAGCAGGCATGCCACTCCCCTCTGACCGGCAGGGACTCCCCTCTGACCGGCAGGGACTCCCCTCTGACCGGCAGGGACGCCCCTCTGACCGGCAGGGACTCCCCTCTGATCAGCAGGCATGCCACTCCCCTCTGATCAGCAGGCATGCCACTCCCCTCTGACCGGCAGGGACGCCCCTTCTGACCGGCAGGGATGCCACTCCCCTCTGACCGGCAAGGAACACTTCCGTTTTCTTAGCGACACTCCTTCTCCCGCTCTCCCCCAGCCCCGGGGGTCAGCCCCCCGGCTGAGTGCCCCTGGCCCTCCCCTGACCTGTGCATGGCAGTACGTCCCCTCTGCAGCAGGCACACCTGTCTGCCCGCCCTCCTCGGAGGGCACCTTCACGCTGACAGCCCCTCAGCCCTGCAGCCTGGGCCCTTCCCACCAGGGCCTGGCTAGCCCCCTGCTGGGCGCTGCCCTGGCGGCCTCAGAGAGCCCACGTGGGTGCCCGAGCTGCTGGCTGAGGCCACACTGCCTCCCTCACCCCCACGCACACGCGGCCTGCACGCGCCAGGTGTCCTGCCTGCTGCAGCCCTGTGTCTTCAGGGTGAGGCCGCTGCATGGTCTGGGGGCAGAGTTCCTGCCCTGTGCATTGTGCCACCCTGTGAACATGGGCACGGAAGCAAACGCTGCTCTCAGGCGGTGGGCAAGCCATGCCCCTCCTCTGAGGCCTCCATCCCCTCCCTCATGCCTCGCCCCGGCAGCTTGGGGATTTCGTTTAAGCTGTCAGGCCTTGGGAGTGCCCCTTTACGGTGCACCGGGTCAGCTAGGCCAGGGGCCACAGCAGCAGCATTGGGGGCAGCCACGTGCGGAGCCCAGAACCCCCACCCACATCCCGCGTGGTGCAGGGGCCACTTGGGCCATCGTCTGATGCTTACCCAGGCCGTTAGCTGGGAGCTGCATCAGAAGTGGGGCAGCAAGGACTCAAGCCTGTGCTCATATGGTATGCTGGTGTCCCCCAGGTTAGTGACTTACCCAGCTGAGCCACGACGCTGGCGCTCCTTGCCCTGGCGCATCAGCCCCCTTCCGTGCAGGGCTGGGGACTCCCGAGGGGTCCTGGGCCTTGGGGTCCCAGCGCTCCCCGAGCAGCGGCATGGGCATGGAGTGTGGTCAGGGCAAGGCTGGTGCCCCAGTCCTGGAGCAGCTGCAGCCTGGGCAGGGAGTCAGCCACCCTCTTCGCTGGGTTGGCACTGGGGACGCAGCGCTGGCCCCACTGCCCTCGGGGCTCCCTGGGCCGTGGGTCCCAGAGAGCTCTGAGCCGAGGCCAGCAGCGGAACTGGCACGGTGGGCTTCCCTGCTGGGAAGCGGGGCCACGGGCAGGGAGTAACCTGCGAGGTGGAGAAGCCAGCTCGGCTTTCTCCCAGCGTCATCCCTCCTGGGCGGCCTGTGTGTGCACGGAGCTGAAGCCGGGGCCACGCGTGTGAGGGTGGGAGGCACAGGTGGGCAAGGAGAGACCAGAGGCTTCTGGGGTTGAAACGGCCTTGTGGTACCACCTGGCGCGGGAGCCCAGTGCCAAAGGAATGCCAGCTGAAGAGGGTTGGAGCAGGTGACAGTGAGCCCCGACCAGTGGGGTAGACGGATTGTCACATTCCTTCATTTCCAGGCATTTTTGGGGCGCACGGTGTGGTGACGTTTGGGGAGTCACTTGAGCGGGAGGGTTGCTTGGGAATCCCGCCCTGTGTGGCCTGGGTGGCCCGAGTCACGTGGCACGGCCCCGTTGTGAGCCTGAGCGCAGGCTGCCTGGCGTCCTGGCGCTGGCCGCCCCCTGGGGTGACACGGTGTCCCCGTCCTAACCCTCTGTCCTGAGTACGTGTTCCGTCACTGGCGAGGGGGCTGGGTGGCCGGTCCTGCATCTCTGCTGAGCCCCGTGTGGTCACAGGTGGCTCCACGTGGAGGAGAGCAGCGCAGGGCACCGAGGGCCCAGAGGGTACACAGGGCCAAGGACGCAGGTGCCTCTGGGGCAGGCTCTCCCATGAGACCCGGATCTGAGGGTGTCCCGCAAGCCAGCAGCGTGGTGTGGAGGGCGCCACATCTGCAGGCACGTGTTCCCTCTTCCGTGGGGTGAGAACGGGAACGGTGTCCGGTTCCGCGGTGGCGGCACTGCGTGCTGAGTTGTGCGGAGCTGCTAAGGAGGGTGGGGCCGAGGTGTCTGGGAGCAGGAACTGCCTCAGGGCTCCCTAAAACAAGTGCCTCCCGCTCCTTCCTGGCCTCTGGTGCGCCCCCTCACGCCCCCTCACGCCCCCTCACGCCCCGTGGCTCCCAGATCCAGTGTGGCCTTCTCATGTTGAGTGTGAGATCCAGTGAGGGCTTAGTGTGAGCCGGCCTGTGGGGCATGCCCTCCCCTAGCCCCTCTCCTTGGGTGCCGTCCGTGGCCCGTCCCTGCTGCGTGGGGCAGTCTGCAGGAGCAGTGGGTTTTGCCCTGCCCTTGGGGAGGAAGCAGAGTGGGTACCCTGGGGGGAGTGTGTGGGGACTGGATGGTGGCTGGGGCAGGGGAAGGGCACGCCCAGGGCTTGGAGCTGGCAGTGAGGAGCACACCTCCCCAGGTCGCTGTGGCTTCCTGCTCTGCCGGATCCTGGGAGGGAGGAGCCTCTCAGAGCCTGTTGATTCTGCCACCTGCCACATTTTCACTGCTGAAGGAAGTGGAGAAGGAGGCTGTGGTGGCTGTGTGAGGAGCCTCCCCCCAGTTGTGGGAGCCCTGTGGCAGGCTGGGATACGCCCCACAGGTAAGTGGCCTGGGTCTAGGCCTGGCCCCTGGCCTGGGGCGCTGCTGCTTCTGCCTTCCACAGTGGCCCTGCCGGTGTGTGCTTCCCAGCTGCGCTGCTGCGGGCCTCGGGAAAGGTTCCCCTGGAATGCTCAGAGTTGCCATTGTCATCGGGTCCGTAAAAGGACCAGGAACAGCACAGCCGTGAGCCTGTCCCATGCCCATGTGAGTGGGAAGGGGTGGCAGGCTGCAGAGTCTCCCCCATGTGTCTCCTGCTCACCATGGTCACCCTTCCTAGGATCTTGCCCCCGGACGATGGGGACTGGCCAGGGAGGGCTGGCAACGGGCAGCTGAGGGCCAGGAGCCGCTCCCAGGCATGTCAGCGCTGCCAGCCAGGCTTGTCCCTGGGCCAGAATGCAGGCTGTGTGGCCAATGGACTTCAATCCCAGTGCAGCCAGTGGTTGATTGCCTGGGTGCAGGGGCGGGAGGGGGGAGGCCTCAGTCAGCCCTTCCTGCCTTGCCACTTCATCCCTGCCCACCTGCACTGGCTCCTGTCTGCTGTTCACAACCCTGCCGTCACCCCAACCCCGTTTTAAAGAAGGAGCAGTTACTTACCTGAAAGATTTAGAGAGAGGAGAGACAGCAAGTGGAATCTCCCCTCTGCTTGTTTGCTCCGTCTGAAGCCGGGAGCATCTCCCAGTCTGCCGCATGGGTGCAGGGGCCCAGGCACCCGGACCATCGCCCTCTGCTTTCCCAGGACACTAGCAGGGAGCTGGATCGGAAGTGAGGCAGATGGGGCTGCAAGAAGCACGGCCATGTGGGATTGGGCACGCTGCAGGCTGTAGTTCTGACTGCTGTGCCACAGTACCAGGCTGGTGACTCCATTTTTTTTTATGGGAACATCAGGTTCTGTCAGTTTTAGGGGTGGAGCAGCCTCAAGCGAATTCATGTTACTTGCTGCAAAAGTAATTTCCTGAGATGCCAGTGGAGACCAGAAGGGAATTTTCTGGGAGGCAGGTGGAATCCTGTGTCGGTGGGTTCTGAATCCCCATCGTCCCTCAGGGGCCCTCCCTGCAGGAGCCCATGCAGGCTAGGGAAGGGAGACTTGGAGCAGGCAGTGGGGTGTGTCCTGGCTGGCTGAGGGCGGACCAGGGACAAAGGTGGCCCAGTGAGCGCCACGTCAGGAGGGTGTATGTGCTGGCGCTTGCTGTGACGAATGCCCATGTACCCTGTGGCTTGGAACCGCACCTCCTGAACCTAGTGTCCGGTTCCTGGGGCTGGGTCCTGGGGCTCAGGGCTGCACCCGCTCTCAACAAGCCAGGGGAGGGTTCACCTCTGTAACCTTTGGGGCCTCTGGGTATCCCACAGCTGTCCGCTCCGTGGTTCTGTCCTTCATATGCTGGGAGCCCACCTGGATGCTTCCCCACCCCAGGCCATTGGTCACATCTGCAGAGGCTGTGGCCCTGGCGACAGGGGACCCAGGATGGCTGTGGAGGGTGGCTGTCTAGGTCGGGAGCCCCGTGCATAGGTCTGGGTGTGCAGAACAAGGACCCCGAGGGACTCAGTCCGCAGGAGGGCAGGCCAGGCACTTGGTGAGTCTCCTGTCACAGCCCCAGGGCTGGCCACGTGGCCACAGGTTGGAGACCCCACCCTGCCAGCATGTGGAGGGAGGTGTGAGGTGGTCGTGGGCAGGGGCCTGCAGGGACGGGAGGTAACATCCTGTACCTGTGTACCCCGGGGGTTTCCACCAGCCCACAGCAAGCGCAGGCCTGTAGGCAGGTGCCTAGGGAGACTGTACGAAGGTCTCCCCCATGTGGAAGGACCTCCCCCAGAAGCTCAGGTCCGTCCCCTGAGCATCTGCCGCAGCCGGCAGCACAGCTCCATCCCACATACCTGAGGGCTGGCAGGTTTGGGTGGCAGTGTTGCTGCCGAGGGCTGGTGTTCCGTGGGCCTGTCCGGGGCTTCCAAGCCTTGGGTCTGAGAGGGCCTGGCAGAGCAGAGCCTGGCGTCCTGTGGAGTTGTGTGCGGGGAGGGCTCAGTGACAAGCCCTGTGCCACTGCCTGGCCAGGTGGCAGCAGCCCGCAGAGACCTGGAATCTCCTCTGAGGGCCCCGACAATGTGATCTGCATTCTGCCCCCACAAGAGTCTGTCTAGAAAGAGGAGGAGGGAGGCCTGCGTCCATGGGGTCTCAGGGTCCTGTATCTGCCCTCCCTGTGGACCAGAGGTCTATGTGAAGAGGGGCACCTCTGGCCACTGCAAGCCAGGCCCAGCTCCCTTGCCCAGGCTGGAGGCCCTGCAGTGTGACCACATTGCCTCCTGCTAGATACCTCTGCCAGCCAGCTTGGGAAGAGCCTTCCCACTGACCCCGGGTGGCACTTGGCCATGTCCCAGGGTCATCTGGCTCCATCCAGTGCCTCAGCAGCCACCCGAGCTGTCATACTCCGTGCCCATAGCACTATGGCTGGGACAGAGCAAGGAGCTATGGCTCCTGGCAGCCACCAGCACTGACCCTGGAGCCCGGGAAGTGGCCAGGGTGAGCCCAGGGAGCCACTCTGACCCTGCTCCCTGTAAGGGACAGGCTGCCCATGTACTCCACCAGCCTGTCTCTCTGGTGTTGAAATGTTGCAGGGTCTGGCCCTCAGGAAGCAAAGGGCCCTTCCCTGAGGCCGGGCACTGTGCTAGGAGCCAGACCCTCTGAGGTAGGCAGAGGGGAGCCAGCTGTGAGGTCCTCACCAATGCTGAGGGCTGGGAGGTGGTCAAGCAGGCCAGGCAGAGGGCCTCCTGGTGGGGGGACACTGACCCTGTCCCCACCCCCCATTTGGAGGGAGAAAGTGCCAGTTCCCACAGAGCTGTTCCCTCCCATTCGGGTGGCTGTCCTGCTGCCTGGGACCGGCCAGTTGAGGGGTTTCATGTTGAAAAACCTTCCCGCCATGCTGACTCAGAGGAAGCAGACGAGGCTAGAGCAGGGCCTAATTGAACCGTGGATGCAGTTGTCCTGGAGCCTCCCTGCTGCTGGCCAAGCCCACGGCCCGCGAGTGGCCCCAGCCCGCTGACCAGCCTGCCGTCTCCCGTGGCCCGCTGACCGCCCTGCGTCTCCCGCCATGCAGGTCCCGTGGCCTGAGCACGCTGATGCCCGTCCAGCCCGCGGAGCCCCTGCCATGGAATGACTCTATGCACTCCCTGCGGATCAGCGTGGGGGGCCTTCCTGTGCTGTTGTCCATGACCAAGGCTGCAGACCCCCGCTTCCGCCCACGCTGGAGGGTGATTCTGCCATCTGTCCTGGTTGCTGCCATCCTCTGGCTGCTCTACTCCCACCGGCCCAGCCCAGGCAGGCCCCCCGCCAGCAACGCGCACAACTGGAGGCTCGACCAGGCCCCCGTGTCCCGTTACAATGACACCTACCCCTTGTCGGCCCCGCAGAGGACGCCGGACGGGACTCGGTACCGCATTGCGGTCATTGCCGACCTGGACACAGAGTCGAGGGCCCAGGAGGAGAACACGTGGTTCAGTTACCTGAGGAAGGGGTACCTGACCTTGTCGGACAGCGGGGACAAGGTTGCCGTGGAGTGGGACAAAGAGCACGGGGTGCTGGTGTCTCACCTGGCAGAGCGGGGCCGGGGCATGGAGCTCTCGGAGCTGGTTGTCTTCAACGGGAAGCTCTACTCCGTGGACGACCGTACCGGGGTCATCTACCACATCAATGGGACCAAGGCTGTGCCTTGGGTGATCTTGGCGGACGGTGATGGCACCGTGGAGAAAGGTAACCGCCAGCCGGGCTGGCCCCACAGCTCCAGCCAGCACTGCTAGCAGCAGCCCCGACCGCCTCTTCCCACTAGGCAGCTTCTAGAAGCAGGAGCCGTTAACCATGGGCCTGCTGGAGAATATGTTCCTTCTAGAATGTTCTGTCGGTCACAGTGACCCATAAGTGGAGAGTCCTCGCTCAGCCTCCTGTGGTTACCAGAGCGTAGCAAGCAGGGCCGCCTCTCAGTGGGAGCCCGGACAGAAGGGTGTGGGGCAGTCCTAGGTCTGGGCTCCCAGGGGTCTGCTGGCCAGCCAGTGGCTTCTGTGAAGACCCCGGGAGACAGTGGACACAGTTCCTAAAGTCATATGGGGAAGGGGCGCACACTCTAGGACCCCCTCTGGGACAGGCACTCTGCATGCTGGCCTCAGGAGGCGTGGGGGTCCAGGGGGTCAGCTAGCACGGTCCCACAGGGAACCCCTGGCCTGTTCCCCAGGCGGACCCACCCCTCCCTGGAGAGTGGAAAGAGGAGAGGCCCTGCTGGCAGCCTCCCACCCCCGTCCCCCCGGCAGGATGATGGGCAGGCCTGAGGGCGTGCCGGGGGTCTCAGGTGCCCCTCTTCTCATTGCCCCAGGCTTCAAGGCTGAGTGGCTGGCTGTGAAGGACGAACACCTTTACGTGGGTGGGCTGGGCAAGGAGTGGACCACAACCACTGGGGAGGTGCTGAACGAGAACCCCGAGTGGGTGAAGGTTGTGGGCCCCAAGGGCAGTGTGGAGCACGAGAACTGGGCAGCCAGCTACAGCGCTCTCAGAGCCGCGGCCGGGATCCGACCACCAGGTGAGGCCTGGGGTGTGGAAGGGAGCAGGTCAGGCAGGTGCCTGGTGAGGCCCAAGGCGGGGGTGTGGGTCAGGCAGGTGCCTGGTGAGGCCCAGGGCGGGGGTGTGGGTCAGGCAGGTGCCTGGTGAGGCCCAGGGCGGGGGTGTGAGTGCAGGTGGGGGAGTGAGTGCAGGTGCCTGGTTCCCGTGGCCATGCCCTTTGCCTGCCTCCAAGACACGGTGCTGCCCCTTCCTTTCTGCTGAACACTACCTGTAGGCCAATGGGTCCTGTGCTCCCGTCATGCGCCCTGACCACATGGCCACTCTTCCAGCCTTCCTCAGCCAGGTCCTGGGGGATGAGGGTGCACGTTCCTGGCTGCTTCTTACTCCTCCCAGTGTCCTTGTGGGCAACATTTGGAGACCTGCTCAGCTCCCAGCCTGGCCACAAGTGGCCCGAAGTCCATCCTTCTGGCTTCAGAGGCGCCGTTCCCCTGCACATGCAGCCTGGGCTCCTTGGTCTCTGTCCCTCTGTGGACAGGAAGCCAGGGTACACACGTGTCTTGGTGGCTCCTGCAGCGCCACAAGGTGGCCAGGATGCAGGTGCTGGGGGTGAGGGCCCCAGGCACCCCGCCAGTGAGCAGGGTGGCCAGGATGCAGGTGCTGGGGGTGAGGGCCCCAGGCACCCCGCCAGTGAGCAGGGTGGCCAGGGTGCAGGTGCTGGGGGTGAAGGCCCCAGGCACCCCGCCAGTGAGCAGGGTGGCCCCTGGCAGCCCAGCGCCCTGTGTGTCCCCAGGCTACCTCCTCCACGAGTCGGCCTGCTGGAGTGACACGCTGCGCCGCTGGCTCTTCCTGCCGCGCCGGGCCAGCCAGGAGCGCTACAGCGAGAAGGCCGACGAACGCAAGGGCACCAACCTGCTGCTCAGCGCCGCCCCCGACTTCAGCGACGTGGCCGTGAGTCGCGTGGGGGACATGATCCCCACACACGGCTTCTCGTCCTTCAAGTTCATCCCCAACACTGACGACCAGATCATCGTGGCGCTCAAGTCCGAGGAGGACAGCGGCAGAGTGGCCACCTACATCATGGCCTTCACGCTGGACGGGCGCCTCTTGCTGCCCGAGACCAAGATCGGCAGCGTCAAGTATGAAGGCATAGAATTCATCTGAGGGGCACCAGGCCCTGGGTGCCCAGGTGGCTGGAGCGGCCGGGCTCGCTGGAATCTATAAACACGGACGACCCACTGCTGCTGTCTGGCTTCCTCCTGCGGCGTCTGCAGCCGGCCACCCCTCCTCCTTTCCTGCCAGCCCCCTGCCCTTTCCCCTCCCCTCTGGCCTTGGACCCCCAGCCTGCCCCCAATGCCTGGAGAGGGAGACATCTCCCCTGAAGGCCAGGCCTGGCCGCTGTGAGCACAGCTTGTGCCCGACAGAGATGGCCCTTGTGGCCGATGGATGCACAGCACCGCTGTGCCAAGCAGCCTGCGGAGTGAACCTCTTGAGGCTGTTGGACAGCTGGATTCTGCTTGATCCAGGAGGGCCCCGCGGCCATGTCCTGAGATGGCTTTCATGCCCTCCTCCTCCCACCATTGGCCTCAGAAGCCTCTCCCCCAAAAGTTCTTAGCTCAGGCAGCAGCCCCATGCTAGCCCACCACCTCCCTCTCCGTGCCAGCCCACCACCTCCCTCCTCATGCCAGCCCACCACCTCCCTCCTCATGCCAACCACCTCCTCCCTCCCTGTGCCGGCCCGCCATCTCCCTCAGTGCAGGCAGGGGATGGGGCTCTGGCCGGGCTGGGCAGAAGCGTTGGCACCCTCATGGCAGCTGCCTCACCCTGCAGTGGCGTCTGGCCTCCGACACGCCTCTTCCACCGAAGCCCCAGGGCAGGGGGCAGCGGGGAGGCAGAAGCAGCTGCTCACACAGGCTGGCTCCCTCACTGCCCACTGGGCTCTAACAAGTGTCCCTGAGGGCAGGGCTGGGTTGCCCCCCTTCTGTGGAGGCCTCTTAAGTGGGCTTACATGGGTGCTAGAGGCCCGGTCACCAGGCAGGAAGGCAGATGCTGTAGAGCAGGGCTCTTCAATGTCACCCCTTCCCGAGCAGACAGTGAAGTGCCCAAGGGGACCCTGCCTCCCTGGAGTGTTTTCCCCACTCCTCCTAGATAGGGGGGACACACCTGAGAGTGACAGTCCCCCACCCTGCCCACCTGGCCCAGCTGCCATTGGCTGAGGCCCCATGAAGAGCTGCCAAGAGGTGACCTGGGCACAAAGGAAGGATTGCTGCCCAGCTCTCCCCACAGGCCAAAGAGGCCAGAGGAGGAGTGGGGCAAGGGGCAGGCTCACACAGCTCCTCGGGGTCCTCCCCAGCTGCCACCATAGGCTTGCTGTTCAGTGTGGAAATAGAAGGCCGAAGCAAATGGGAGCAAAGTGTGACTGACATGCGGCAGGAGCCGCCCCGGGGGTGCCCACGGGAGGGTCACCACAGGACCAGGCTCAGGCATGTCTGTGCCACACCAGCTCCTCGCTGGCACACACAGAAGGGGTTAGGTCAGGTCCATGGGCCCAGGCCCTTCCGTTACGGCCACGGCACTGACACACACACACATACAGCCCTTACGTTAGGGCCATGTCTTAAGGCCGTTAGGTGTCAAGCTGGGAACAGGACAGCCTATCTGCTCCAGATCTCAACACTTTGCCATCCCAGCCTTCCACCCCCACCCCACCCTGGGCATTGGGCCAGCCAGGAAGCATGTTTGTACTAGAATGCAGCTGGGGTTGCCCTGCCCCTCACTGGGCAGTCCAAATTTGGGCCATTCCACCCTCACTCCCTGAGCCAGAGCAGGGAGGGAGAGGGGCCCCCCAGAGCCATCACAGCCAATCCCGGAGGAGACTGCTGTCAGGTGGTTTGTGGGAATCGAAAGTAAACACAGTTCCCCAGAGCATTTCCTAGAACCGCCTGAACTCACTGTACTGGGGAGGCTGCAGTCTGCACGTTAGCCACAGGAGCCAGCCCCAGCAGGTAAGGCCCCAACCTCTCCCTTGGCACCCAGGCCTCCTGACATCTCTGGCTTAGTGCAGGGACCATGGGGCTCTGTGTGTGGTTGGGCAGGTTGTTCAGAGAGGGAGCAGGAGGGGTTGGCATCAAGCCCTCAGCCCATGCCCACCGCAGAGAACACCTGTACCCAGCGGTACCATGGCACATAGCATGGTGAGATGAAACCACATAAAGGCTGCCCAGACTTCCTGTCCCCCAGAGGACAAGCAGGGCTCCCGCAGCGCTCCAGGAAGTAGCAGCAGGAGGCACCCCTTCCGGTCATCGGGCGGTGCAGAACCTCCTTGGGGTCAGGGTTCCCGGGTGCCCCATGTGAGGCCGCCAAGGCCCAGAGCAGAGTGGAGCTCGCCTGCATGGAGCTTGTGGACGCAGAAAGCTGTCCAGGGCCCGCTCCTGGCTCTGCACAGCAGGAAGAAGGGTGCCCACTCCTTGGGTAGGCCTTCTAGCCCAGCTGCCCAGCCTCCTCCTGTCCCCTACCTCCTGTCTGTGGCCACCTGTCTCTGACCACGGAACCCGCTCGTGGCCTGGGCCCTCTGTCTGGTGGGCACAGGGTCTCAGTCCCACATCCTTCTGCAGGGTCGGGGCTTCCAGCCAGACCATGTTTCTGCCGTGGCTCTTCTGGGCGTGGCTGCTGCTCGCAGGGACACGAGGTGAGCCGGGCCCCTGGAGGTCACACACTGTAGCCCTGTCCAACAGGTTTAGTCCCTCCAAGACATGGGAGCCGCTCCACCCTCTGCGTGAAGCCAGGATCAGCCAGCTCCACTGTCTGATGCATCCAGGGTGTGGGGTGATGCGGAGGTACCCGGGGCACTGGGGACAGACACAAGTGAACTGGCCAATTGTGTCAGTGTTGCAAGGCCAGCAGCCTCTGGACACAGAGGCTTACCATGATCAGGCCTTGTCTGTCCCAGAGCATCCTGAGACCTCTTCGCACAGATAACCCCAGGGTCAGGGCATCTGGTGGGCTGAGTTGGTAGGAGAGCTCTCCCACTCCAGTGCTGGGCATCTGGTTCTTCATCCCTGTCCCACCCAGGAAAGGGCGGGCGAGTCAGCCAGTGGGGGTTGGGAGGCAAGATGGAAGTCATCCTAGTCACGGACAAGGACATGGGTAGAGTGGCTGGGCAGGTGCAGCATCAAGCCGACCCTTGGGAAAGCCAAGATGGCAGAATAGGATAAGGACACGTTTAAACAGATGGAGAAATACTAGCCAGTGTGAAGCAGAGAGGGCACATGCCAGGAAATAAGAGGACAGAACAACAGCAGACGGGCACCTGGACACTGATAGATACAGGAAAGCAGCAGACACGACGGTATGGCGTTGCAGTGACACACCCCAGCAGCATTCAGCAAGCGGCGATCTGAACTGCACCAACAGCCAGAACTCCACCAGCAACAAGGTGGGAAGGGGAGTTCAGTGGGAGCATGGGAGGTGAACCCAAAGAACTGCTTGTCCTGCTGGTCTGTTTGATTTGACCAGGAGCAGAGACAGAGCAGCAGGTCCCAGAGGGATGGTGCAGGAACAGGGTGGATTTCATAGTCCAGGCCAGTGAATCAGGTACCATTTTGTGTAGGGAGATCAGGACTGTGGGTGCACTGAGCTGGGAGTGAACTCATTTCTGGCTCAATGAACTGCAATAACGTGGCATCCTACAGGTTCCACCCAAGAGAGGTCCAGGTAGCCCTCAGACCTGACGGCCAGCAGATCAAGAACTCTAGCAGTGGCACATCAGGCACCATTTTGTACGGCGTGGCAAAGAACTTAAGACTGTAGGGACAACAATGAGCGACACGTGTGCTGAGCTGGGAGCAAACTCACTGAGCTCAGTGCATTGCACTGGTGCCACAGGGAGAATGGTACTGACTGTGGCATCGTGCGTGTCAAAACAGGTCCGTGTGGCCCTCAGACCTAATAGCCAACAGGTTCTGGCAAGATCAGCACCACCAACAATGTAGTTATATAGGACACTTGGTTTTTCCCTAATCCTGGGCACTGCTCGAACCAGAAGTGGGAAAAAGGTTGTGCAGACAATGGTGCAGCCTCAGCACGGTATCGCAGGAGGTGGAGAATGGGAAGCCAGGAGCTGGGACTATGGAGACCTTGGTGGAAGTCTAGCATAAGAACCCAGACCTGAACTAGCTGGAAGGAGTGGTACAAATAACTGCAAACAAAGAGCCATATACTAACCACAATAAGTACAGTCAAGCTGTAGACCTGTGGGTGACAGCTTAGAAACCTGCCCCAAGGAGAAGAATCTGCTAAGCAGAAGTACAATGACCAAGAGCAAAAGCAGAGACAGAGGCACAATGAATATTACTGAAGACTCCCCTGCAAAGGAGCAAAACCTTTGCCAAACTCAGAGTTAACTGAGGAATACATCGAGAAAATGGGGGATACAGAATTCAAAACACTTGTTATAAAGCTTCTTATCAACCATGAGAAGCACATAAAGGTGTTCAAGGAATTTAAGGAACATGTCACACAGGAAATGAATTAAATGAAAGCTGATACATTAGAAATGAAGAATACAGTGGAGCAAAATAAAAGTACAGTGGAGGGTCTCCAAAATAGAATGAAGCAGAATAATCTAGGAACTGGAAAATATTTCCTGTCACCAGGGGGAAACAAACAAAAAGCTGGAAGCAGAGCTGAATCAGGCTAAAAAAAAAAAATATTCAAGAATTGAAAGACACTATTGCAAGGCCAAATATAAGCATTATGGGAGTCCCAGAAGGTGCAGAAAGAGAGGCTGGGTTTATAAAACATATTCAATGAAATAATAAGGGAACATTTCCCTAATCCGGAGAAAGAATTGGGAAACAACATCCAGGAGGGACACAGAACTCCCAACAGGGTTGACCAAAGGTGATCTTCACCTCGACACATGATCACCAAGCTCTCTTCAATCAAACAGAAGGAATGGATCGTTTAATGTGCGCATGGAAAAATCAACTGACATATAAAGGAATGCCAAGGAAACTCACAGGAGACCTCTCACAGGAAACTCTACAGGCCAGAAGAGAATGGAGCGACGTATTCCAGATTCTAAAAACCAAAAATTGTCGGCTCAGGATAGCATACTAGCAAAGCTTTTTTTTGTCTTTGAAAATGAAATAGAATTCTTCCACAGTAAAGAAAAGTTAAAAGAATTTGCCTCTTCCAAACCTGCCCTACAAATGGCACTTACAGATGTTCTCTTGACAGAGAAGAGGAATAGCACCCACCAAAACCAAAGGTAAATTTGAAGAACATCCCAGTAAAATGACAACAGAAGACTAAATCTATTAACAACCCATTGCTAAAATGACAGGATCAAATTACCACCTATTTGTATTAACCCTGAATGTAAATGGCCTAAACTCATCAATCAAATATCATAGATTAGTAGACTGGATTAAAAAAAACAAAACCCATTTATTTATTGCCTACAGGAGACATATCTCACCAATAAAGATTAGCAGAAACTATATCTCATGGATTTTATTTTTTTAATTTAGTTTTATTTCTTTTTTTTTAATTTATTTTATTTTTATTGGAAAGGCGGATACACAGAGAGGAAGATCTTCCGTCCGATGATTCACTCCCCAAGTGAGCGCAACGGCCGATGCTATGCCGGTCCGAAGCCAGGAGCCTCTTCCGGGTCTCCCACACGGGTGCAGGGTCCCAAAGCTTTGGGCCGTCCTTGACTGCTTTCCCAGGCCACAGGCAGGGAGCTGGAAGGGAAGTGGGGCTGCCAGGATTAGAACCTGTGCCCATATGGGATCCCGGGCGTGCAAGGCGAAGACCTTAACCACTGTGCCACTGCGCCAGGCCCAATTTAGTTTTATTTCTTCAAAACACTTTCTCATTGAATTCTTCACTGACTCACAGATCACACAGCAGCAGCATTTGCAAGAAGGTTCTTGATTTTCCTTCACATTTCTTCAGCGACACATTAGTCATTCAGTAGCACGTTATTTAACGTCATGGCGTTTTCAATTACTTCTTTTCTTCCTCTTGTTGATTTTGTTTTGTGGTTTTTATTTTAAGGCGGATATACAGTAACTGTGTGATAGACTATCATATCCAGTAGCGTGTTATTTAATTTCATGGCATTGTAAATTTCTGTTTTTCTTGCTGTTGTTGATTTTGTATTGTGGCTTTTCATTTAAGGGGATGTGTGGTAACTGTGTGATGGAGACTGTCATATCCAGATGTGAAGATACAATGCAGGATGCATTTCCACTTCCAGATCAAAGATGGACTTACAATGAAACTGTTTACTGTGTCTTGACAATAGGATGCTGGACTCTGCCATTGTCCATGCCCGCAGTGATGCACATATGCCTTTTTATGAAGAACTATACTACAGTAATAATATATTGGCACTCAATGGAAGGGAGAAACTTGGGAGGGGGTAAGGGAAATCCCCAGGGCCTATGGAAATGTATCATAAAATGATAATAATAATACAAGTAAAAAAAAAAAATCAAGCTGACCCTTGCTCTCTCTGCAGGCCAGAAGGATGGGGACATGCGGCTGGCCAACGGGGACTCGGCCAACAAAGGCCGCGTGGAAATCTTCTACCAAGGCCAGTGGGGGACCGTGTGCGACAACCTCTGGGACCTGACTGATGCCAGCGTGGTCTGCCGTGCCCTGGGGTTTGAGAATGCCACCCAGGCGCTGGGCGGAGCTGCCTTCGGGCAAGGTGGGGCCTGCTGAGCCTTCTCTCTGCCCAGCCCCGTTCCCTTCCCCCAACAACCTCTCCCTCCCCGCCCTGCAACCCTGCCAGGGCCTAGGACCCTGCTGGTGAGTGTCTCCTGGACCTGGGCCCTTCCCTCTGGCCTCTGTGTCAACCTGTGGCATTGATCTTGAAGCAGCTTCCCAGCACCCCAGGGGCGGGGATGGGGTTATGGGAAAGCAGTTTCCACTGAGGTAGTGATCGTGAGTGGGGAGTGGGTGGGAGAGCCAAGGTTTCAGTGGTGGAAGCAGGTGAGCTGGTCAGACAGCCCCGATCCATCCACCACAGGGCCAAGGGCCGAGCCTGGGCTCCCTTGTTGGCTGTGGGAGAGCCACAGCCCAGCCCATGCGTGACTGACTCCATGACTGTGCTTAGGAACACAGAACCACCTTCACAGGGCACAACATGGCTTTCTGCACTGTCCTGTGGTTTTGAAGAGTTTATTCCAAAGATATGTGACAGTGCAGAGGATCCAGCTGGCCCTTGGGGACCCTGCATCCCATCTGCACTTCCCACCCAGCTTCAGAGACAGTGAGGATGGGCCCAGAACTTGGGTTCCGGTCCCTGCAATGTGGGACTCCATGATGGAGTGGCTGGTACCTGGCTTCAGCCTGGCCCAGTCCTGGGTGCTGCTGCCACTGGGCCAATGACATGCTCTCAAGTAAGAAATAAGACAATGTTTTTAAGTCAGTTGAGCCATTGCCTGCTTCCTCTGCCATCTGTATTGATGAGCCACCGGAAGGAAGCAGGAGCCCTTGCTGGCAAGCGGCACTAAGGACCGTGTGGGACACGGGCCTCGCGCCCAGCATTCCTGGCGCCCACCCCGGGAACCGCCCCCTGACTGGTTCTACTCTGACCTTCCCATTACTGTGCCCTGGGTGGGGCCGCCTGTCCCGTGCACGTGCCCACAGGAGCCTGCCTCGAACCCCTGGTGCCCCTGTCTGCTTTGCTGTGCCAACAGGAACAGGTCCCATCATGCTGGACGAGGTCGTGTGCACGGGCACGGAGTCCTCGCTGGCGGAATGCAGATCCCTGGGCTGGCTGAGGAGCAACTGCAGACACAAGCAAGATGCCAGTGTGATCTGCACCAATGGTGCGTGGCCGTCCTCCCGCCCAGAGTGGGGCGGGGGACCCCCAGAAACAAGGGGGCGTCCGTCCCTGTGCCTGCCCCTCCCAGTACCTGCGCCCATTCTCCGACAAAGGCCGGGGAAGCTGGGGGCATTCGCGCCCATGTGCTTGCCTGCCCTTCCCTGTACCAGCCTCCTGCCCTTGGGGAGACCCGCACATGGGGAGCTCATCTGAAATAAGGCCAGGATCCCACCGAGGACATCTGAGCTGAAACCACAACTCAGCCTGTGGGACATGTCCCTGTTCCCGTGAGGTGCAGCCCCTGGGCAGCCAGCAAGCACCTTCCCTGCCCAACCCCACCCGCAGGCCGCCCTGCCGGTGTGACCCAGCCCCACGCCCTGTGGTTGTTCCTGCTGCCTGGATTGGCAGGAGGGAGTTGCAAAGGACAGGCTGTGGGGCTCGGAGGTGCTGGATATGGCGGGCGGAGCGGATTGTGGGGACAAACACACGGCTCTGCCTGCTTGGAATGGGAGTGGGGACCTGTTCTGGGGCGCAGCACCGGGTGTTTCTGGCTTGGGGTGCACCCAGCCGTGTCCTGCCCCTCCGTGTCGCCCGCTGGGAGCAGAGGTCCCCGCCCTCACGCTCGCCTCCTTCGTCCCTGCAGAGACCAGCAGTGCGCACACCCTCGACCTCTCCGGGGAACTCTCCTGGGCCCTGGGTGAGATCTTCGACAGCCAGCGGGGCTGTGACCTGTTCATCCAGGTGAGGGGGCAGGAGGAGGAGGAGCAGGCCGTGTGTGCCCACACGCTCATCCTGGCGGCCAATCCCGAGGCCCGGGCCTTGCAGCAGGAGCCGGGCAGCAACCTTACCATGAACGTGGACTCCGAGTGTTTGCCCCAAGTGCAAGACTTCCTCAGGTGAGCACTCCAGGGCACGCCCACTGGGCACAGAGTGGGCGGGGCGGGGCTGGTGGCTCAGTGCCACCTCACAGCTGTGCCCACCCCTGCACTCCGCCACGCAGCTTCCTCACGCACACCGTCACACTTGCCCTCACGCATGCGCGTGCACACACGTATGAATTGTCTTAAAAAGATCTCACATGGGAAAGCTGATGCCACAGTGCTGCAGGAACATCCCGACGGACAGTGGGGGCCCAGGAAGGCCTCACCTGTGTGCCTGCCCTCAGGTACCTGTACTCCCGAAGGATTGAGGTGACCTTGACGTCGGTCAAGTGCATGCATAAGCTGGCCTCCGCCTACGAGGCCCACCAGCTGCAAGACTTCTGCGGGCGCCTCTTCGCCAAGCTCCTCCCGCAGGACTCCTCCTTCCGAACCCCGCTGGACCTGTACGCCTACGCGCTGGCCACGAAGGACGCTGTGCTGGAGGAGCTGTGCGTGCAGTACCTCGCCTGGAACTTCGAGGCCCTGACGCAGGCCGAGGCCTGGCCCAGCGTCCCCGTCGCCCTGCTGCGGGAGCTGCTGGCCAGAAGCGAGCTGGCTGTGTCCAGCGAGCTGGCTCTGCTGCAGGCTGTGGATGCCTGGAGCCGGGAGGCAGGCTCATCCCCCGAGCAGGTGGCAGGCCTGTTGGAGGCCGTGCGCTTCCCGATGCTGCTGCCCACGGAGCTGTTCGAGCTGCGCTTCAACCTGTCGGTGTACAGCAGCCACGAGGCGCTGTTCCGCAGGAAGATGCTGCAGGCGCTGCAGTTCCACACGGTGCCCTTGAGGCTGCTGGCCCGGGACCAGGGCTTCAACCTCACCGACGAGGCCTACATGCCACGGCTGTACACCTCGGCCACCTGGAGCGCCTCGGTCTCGGCCGGCTCCCCGGTCTCGGCCGGCTCCCCGTGGGGCCGCAGGGACCCCTACCTGACCAGGGGCTATTCCCTGAGATACACTGCTGTCCACAGGCCCCCACGTATCTACAGCACCTCTTACTACCCCTCGCTGTCCTTCCAGACCCCACCGCACCCCAGCTTTCTCTTCCGGGCCAAGCTGCTCCCCTGGTCCCTCGCCTACCTCCCCAGCGTCCAGCGATGCTGGGACTTCGGCTTCTCATGCTCCGCTGAGGAGCTGCCCGTCCTGGGCCTCACCAAGGCCGGCTCCTCCGACCCCACCATTGGCTACGAGAACAAAGCCCTGACCATCTGCGGGGGGCGCCTCATAGTGGACGTCACCGACTTCCAGGACGCCAAGGCCCCCCTCCCCAGTGCAACCAGCACCAACAGCTCCCGGAGGGCCTCCCCCTTCTCCTGCCCCTCGGGGTCCTTTAGTAGCTTCAAGGCTGTCGTCCGCCCCTTCTACCTGACCAACACCACGGGCGTGCACTAGCCGGCCAGACCCCCCGCCGGGTGGGTATGGGAGTGCCACAGGTGCCCCCTGTGTCCATGCCTTCCTGCACTGCCAGTCCTGGCCACCAGGTGTCCCCGTGCCTTCACTGTGCACCTCCTCAGCTTGAAGAAAGTACTAGAAGTTTCCTGCCAGGGCTCCCCGCCCAGATCTGCAGCTGCCTGGCCCGCTTCCCCCGTCCCACCACCACCTCAGGTCCCCTTCCTGAAGTGCCCACCTCGTGGTCTCTGGGCTGAGTCAGTAAAGCCGTCCCTAGCTCTCCGCTCTTGTGTCTGCTCACTGAGCAGGGTTGGGTGTCACCGTGCTGGATGGGGGTGTGAGCTGGAGGCCTGGGAAGCTGCTGGCCGCTGGGTGCCCGCTGTGGCTGGCAGAGCAGTCTGCCCAGAGGGTGCTCCAGGGCAAGGTGAGGGAACCGGTGCCCTGGGGTCAGAGAGAAAGCAGAGAATGGGGAGTTTCCGGCCTACGGAGGGGCAGCCCCAGGCTGGGTCCCAGCCTGTGCCTGTCGGTGTCGGCGCTCAGGGTCCCACGCATGCTGCGTCTCACCGGAAAGCAGCCCTCGGAGTTCTGGCCTTCCAGGAGAGGTTTATCGGCTACACGGGACTGCAAGTCCCACTCGGCTGATGCCACGCCCCATTTCCTCTGCTAAAACAGGACCCAGGGACTGGGCCCAAGGGGAGCGGGTGACTAGGGAGGGGCGAGCGGGGGGGGGGGGGAGCCTGACCCCTTCGTCTATCTCCAGTTTTTAAAGATCTATTTTATTTTTGTGAAAGGCGGAGAGAGATCTTGCATCTGCTGTCTCACTCCACAAATGAGTGCAGCCGCCAGGGCCGGACCAGGCCGAGGCCAGGAGTGGCCGCTGAGTCCCACGGGGCACCTGGGGCATCTCCCCCTGCCTTTGCAGGCCTTCCAGCAGGAGGCTGAGATCGGAACTAGCTGATGTGAGATGAGGTTTAGGTGTGGGAGAGGAGCAACTCTTAAACGCAGGTGGAAGAACGCCTGGTGGTCAGTCAGCTCGAACCTGGGCATGGCCAGCCAAGCTTGAGGACCTAAAATGTCTGCACAGAGAGGGGTCTGTCATGCCACGGCCTCGGGCTGCCGGGGACATCTGAGTTTGTTTTCCAAGCATCAAGGTTTCCAGAAGTTTCTAGGGCTTGCAACTTTGTTTGGTAAGAAAAGTGTAAGTATGAGAGTATGTCCTTGGTGGAAAAGGTCGGAGACCAAGGACAAGCAGGAGGAAGGTCATGGGCTTTGGAAGTGAAATGCTGTGGGTGGCCGACCCAGTGGGGGCTCAGAGGCCCCCCGAAGCAGCGGGCTGGCCCTGCACTCCGTGCTGAGACACCCTGCAAGGTCGAATCTCCCCGACTCAGCCCAGAGAAGGGTTCATGTGTTTTTGTTGCTTTTTTTGTTTTTGTTGGGCCTTGACCTGGTGGTTGGAAGCTCTGAGGGTGATAAAATAATGCCCCTGGGGAATTGATATCGCCATCACGTTCAGACCACGGTGCCCGGGAATCCGAGCCGTCGCTGGGCGGGTGGGTACGGGTCATGGCCAGAGCGGAGGAGGGACCAGGCGGCGGTGTGCTTGCCCTGTCCCCTTAGCTGGGCGGGCACCTGCTGAGTATCTCATCTGTGCCTGTTGCCCATCCAGGCCTTTTCTTTGGCAAAAGTTCTGTTCACATATTTGGCCACCTCGTTCACAACAATGCAATTATTGGGGCCAGCGCTGTGGCACATCAAGCTAATCCTGTGGGCTGGCATCCTCTGTGGGCACCAGTTTGAGTCCCGGCTGCTTCACTTCTGCTCCACTCCCTGCCAATGCACCTGGGAGGCAGTGGAGGATGGCTCCAGTCCTTGGCCCTGCCCCCACCTGGGACACCTGGGTGGAGTCCTGGGCCAGCCCTGGCTGTTGCAGGTATAAATTGTTTGGGGAGCGAACCAGCAGAGGGAGGTTTTGTCTCTCCCCCCAACACTCTCTCTGTCAGATACACAGATAAATCAATCTTAAGAAACAGACCCGGACAACCCACCCTCCTTGCCGGTGTCTGGGTTTGGGTGCAGTTGAGGGGAAGGGCTGTGGAGCTGGTGACGCCTCAGCTGCAAGGAGGGGCTCCAGCGCTCCCCACCCTGAGACGTGGCCACGGTGGCACAATGATTCGCTCAGCACCCTCTGAGATGGCAGGGACCCCGGTGATGTCCTCGTGTGGCCCAGGGAGGGTGGCAGCCCTGGTCGTCATGAGTGAGGGACCAAAAACGTCTGATGTGGTGGCAGCTGCGGGGCTGACTCAGCGGGCTCGCATGACCAGCGGGCGGAAATTGCCCAATAGCAGAGCAAGTCCGCAGGCCCTCCTCCTGGCCCTGCTCAGACACAGGTGCCCACGTGTTCTCGGAGCTGGCTCGGAGAGGCTGGGGGAGGCCCTGAGGACGGGGTATGGGGACCAGTGACAACACTGGGAGCCCTGTCAGCGAAGGTCAGTTGAAGTCGTGGTCCCTGAAGCCTGTAGGGAATTCGCCTTTTGCCTCTTCCCTGGTTTCCAGCAAGGGGACCGCAAGGCCATTAGGACTCCCTGGGGACACGACTGGAGGCCCGGCAGGTGCACCTCAGTGACTCCACAATGACCAAGGTCTCCTCCCGGGAGAGGCAGGGAGCACCTCACCTGTGACCAGTGACATTGTCAACCCCTGCTCCTGGTCTTGGAACCCCTGAGCAGGGGCTGAACACAGCTCCCACCTGGACCCCACTCCCAGCCGTGGGAGACTGCTGGGAGGGGGGAGAAGGGAGTGTCAGGCTGTCCACCCCTGTCCTGGCTGCCATGGGAGGCCCTGCCTGGCTCTGCCTCGCCCCTCACAGTCCCTGCACCAGGTCCTGGCCTCCAGTCTTGCCTGCCCCTTTGGGTGTCTGGGCCTGGCTCCTGAGGGGATGGGAACTGAGTGTTGGTAGCTTCCTCAGGGGGGTGGTTCCTTGCCACAGCTCTGGGGGTCCCGCGCCTAGGTCTGGCTCCTTCTGGTGACTCTGATGGAAACACTGCTGAGGCCTCTCCCCCGGTCTCTGTGGGCCCCACCCCTCCTTAGCATCCTGGCTGCCTGTGCATGGACCCCATGTCCACCTGCAGTCACCTGGCCAGCTGCGTGAGTGTGTCTCTGTGTATCTCTGTCTCTGTGTGTGGCATGGGTCTGTGTGTGTCTCTGTGTGTTGCATGGGTCTGTGTGTGCATGTGTGTTGCATGCGCCTGTGTGTGTCTCTGTTGCATGGGCCTGTGTGTGTCTGTGTGTCTTGCATGGATCTGTGTGTGTGTCTGTGTGTGTTGCATGGGTCTGTGTGTGTCTCTGTGTGTGCATGGGTCTGTGTGTGTCTGTGTGTTGCATGGGTCTGTGTGTGTCTCTGTGTGTGCATGGGTCTGTGTGTGTCTGTGTATTGCATGGCTCTGTGTGTGTCTGTGTGTGTTGCATGGGTCTGTGTGTGTGTCTCTGTTGCATGCACCTGTGTGTGTCTCTGTTGCATGGGTCTGTGTGTGTCTGTGTGTGTTGCATGGGTCTGTGTGTGTCTGTGTGTGTTGCATGGGTCTGTGTGTGTCTGTGTGTGTTGCATGGGTCTGTGTGTGTCTGTGTGTGTTGCATGGGTCTGTGTGTGTCTGTGTGTGTTGCATGGCTGTGTGTGTGTCTATGTGTGTTGCATGGGTCCGTGTGTGTCTGTGTGTGTTGCATAGGTCTGTGTGTGTCTGTGTGTGTGTCTGTGTGTTGCATGGGCCTGTGTGTGTCTGTGTGTGTTGCATGGGTCTGTATGTGTCTCTGTGTATTGCATGGGTCTGTGTGTGTCTGTGTGTTGCATGGGTCTGTGTGTGTCTCTGTGTATTGCATGGCTCTGTGTGTGTCTCTGTGTGTGCATGGGTCTGTGTGTGTCTATGTGTGTTGCATGGGTCTGTGTGTGTGTCTGTGTGTGTTGCATGGTGTGTGTGTGTGTCTGTGTGTTGCATGGGTCTGTGTGTGTGTCTGTGTGTTGCATGGGTCTGTGTGTGTCTATGTGTGTCTGCATGGGCCTGTGTGTGTCTGTGTGTGCCTGTGTGTTGCATGGGTCTGTGTGTCTGTGTATCTGTGTGTGTGAAACATCCTTGCTTTTTCCCATACAGGGACACCTGTCACCGGATTTGTAGCTTGCTCAGGCTGTATCTGCTCAGGACACCCAATTTGGTCACATAGACAAAGAACCTAGCTCTAAGCACGGCCCAGGCACAGGTTGGCGCTGGGCACTCTGGGAGGATGTGGTCTGCCCTCTATTGGCAGGTGGGTGTTGGTGCATGTACAGACTCCTGGTGGGGGCCTGGGGCTGGCTCTTTCCTGCCACAGCCCTTGGACACCCAGAGCCACAGGTGTCTCCCACATGTCTCCCACCTGCCCCTATGGTGCCTAATCTCCCCCAGCCCTCTTCTGGCGCAGCAGTTGGCACCACGTGCCCCCACACCAAGCACCTTTCTGGTTTTCCAGGAGACAGCCCAGCAGACCCAGGCTCCCAGCCTTAACTGCAGCAAACCCCTCGTCCACGGGCCACTGCTTGGCCATGGCCACCTCCGGCTACAGGGACCAGCACCGGCTTCCATGGAAAGCCACCGGGAGCTGCCCCCGACCCAGGCCTTGGGGAGCGATGGCCAGGTCGCAGTCTTGGTGGATTACTAGGAGCCCCAGCAGGCATGTTCGTGAGACCCTGGGGCCCAGGGAGGGGGACGGTGCAGAGGCGCGTATGTACACTCTAAGAGCGGGATGGGCAGTGACGAGGTGGCAGCTGGCTGGGGCTCTGAGCTCCTATCCCCCCTTTTTGAGCAAGATCCCCTTGTGCCCCTGTCCCCACCAGGGCACCTCTTCTGTAAATGGTGGGGGACACTGCTCTTGTCTCTGGTCCCCAGGGTATCCCTAGGTGACATGCTACTGGAGCCCAGGCATGAAGACCACCAGCCACGCTCACCCGCCCCTGCCAGGGCACAGGGAGAAACAGGTGACCCACGTGGACTCTCTACCCTGCTGACCTTCCACTGGCTCCTGAGCCCACCCCAAGGCCCGGGTGTACCCCTCCCGCAAGACCCAACTCAGCCGACAGTCACACTTGAGCTGGCCAGTCCCCATCAGCTGGTGGCCTGGTCGACTACCAGCTGGTTTCACCTACGACCCCATGCAGTCCTGTGAGTCCCAACCCCCAGTGGCGACCCCACCAGGCCCCACCAGGTACCCCGGAGTTGCTGTGGAGAAGCCCAGAAGAGCCAGGTCAGTGAGAACTGA